CTTTAGTTTGTCCTGAACCACAGAATCCTAGAATGAGTTGGAAGGTTCCTTAAAGATCATTTAGTTCCAACCCCCTCCATGGTCAGCTCTGCAAAGACCCAGTTGCAATATAGATAAAATTATCTCAAAAGTTAACTGAGTATTATAGAGGAAATAAAGAAACACAGATCCACTGCAGACATTTGTGTTAAAAAAAAATATATATATATTGTATGTGTTCCTGTTGCTTTAAGAAAGGTATTTATTGTCCACTTTGACACATTGGTTTTGTTCAGTTACATCCAAAATGACAGGAAAATCCTATTGATCCCTAAAATTACAAAGAATATTTTATCATTCTTTTGCCATACTCTTAAATTTTAATATATATTAAAAATTGGTGGCATTTGAAGCAAAATATAGTAGAAATAAACATTCCAGTCATGTAATTTATGTTACAAAATATGAACACAATGTATTTTTATTTGCAGCTAAACAACATTACGTTCTGCAAGCCCAAAAATCATGAAATATTCATAGAAACTGCAATTCTTTTTTTTTTTAAGCTCTTTGGATATAGGATTTTCATAGTGTGCCATAAAACAATTTCCACTGACCAAAAAGCTTCCCCATCAATCTGACAAATTTTGCAGTGGGCAGGATCTGATGAAAAGCTTTGTCCTTTAGGGACAATGGCAGAACTGAAGAGTACCATATTAACATCTTAATTTGATAATAGCAGAGCACAGTTGAGGCCAGACAGTGCTGGTGTAAATGTGATTGTGTCTCTTGCTATCAAAGCTGATCTCAATTTCAGTTTGCAGAGCTCTCCCAGACCAGCAGGGAACAGCAGAATCATCATTAAAGGATGTTCCAGGCTTGTTCCCAAGCCATCACAGACAGACAGGGACATCTCCCTTTTCCTCCAGGCACCACAGCACTTCTGGGATCTTACATGGAACAATTTCAGCTACAAATTGGTTCAGGTTAACAAATGATGCCAGTAGAATTTTTATTACAATAATCAATCTAAAGGACCTTTGGGCCACTTTTAATATTTTTATGTTTTTTCTTCTCCAGTGTCCTACTCTAAGATCAATGTCATCACTGTGGGACGTCCCTTGGAAGAGGTACCAAGGATTTGTTGCATCAGAGCTTGCATCATAATTCAAATAAAACAAAGTATTGAACAGTTATCTTTACTTCACTGAAAATTGAAATTATTTGATGACATAAAAAACATAATAGTGACCTCTCCTTGATGTCAGATAAAGACAGAAGAACCAGGAGTGTTCTCTGATAGTTGTTATGAGATACACTGTTTAATTTTTTTCATATAAAATATATGCTGTTAGTAGAAGAGAATTTGCCATTAAAATTAGCAGTTACAGTGTGTGGGGAAGCATGTAAGGCACTAAGCAGACAGAAAAAATCAGTGTAAAAGGGTTATTGCCTGACTGAGTGAAGATGAAAAAAATAATGACAAAACTAGTGGGCAAAAGCCCAAGAGAAAATGCCACCTGAATGTGAACAGAAAAGAAACTAACCAAGTGCTCCCACAAAAAATGGGATATTTTCATTCAAAAAACTATTGGGAAGGTATTGCTTATTTTTAGGTATCTGGCAGGTGTTTTTGAGGATAGGAGCAGAAAAGTTAACCAATAGCATACAATGAGTTGTGGTAAGACATTATTTTGAGGCCAAGTAATTTAACTTACACCTAAACAAGCAGAAACTTGAAAATTAACACCTTAAACTGAATTTCTTTTACTTCTGCAGCCTGCAGTGAGATCATCTCATGCCCCCAGACCTGGAAGCACCTTTTTATTTCTTTACTCATAGGATTGTAAACCCTGTAGCAATTTGCACACCCTTGAATAATTTTCTGTCTTCAACCCAGCTTTTGTTGCTCTGGCCCTACTTCAAGTGAAAGCAAATCACACTTAGCCAAATTTATTCTTCAAAGGTTAAGGAGTTTCTGCTGCTTATACTTTTCATACTTTTGTTATCAAACCTTGCATGTGACAGACAAGGACGTGTAGAAAAATAATCTTATGTGATAAGTGTGCACATGCTCCTAAACTCATGTTAAGGCCATAAAAATAATCTAAATTCAATGCAATTCCCATCCTGAAAAGCTGAATTGCTTCAGTTTTTGAATCCTGCTCAACATTTTATATTCAATATGGGATTTAGTAAAAGTGTAATGCAATCCTAATCTCCATTTCATGCCTTGTCATAACTGATACTAATACTCTAATTAAATATTTTGAGTCATATCTGGTGATTTTAACCACTTCTGTTTCCAGTTTCAGCAATATCCAAGGAAATCATTCCCTAGATAATAGCTAAGGTTTATTTCAGGAAGGGAGAAATTGATATCTTTAAGATTCCTGCTCTTTTCAATGCTAGAAAAAGCTGAGATGACTGGAAAAGGACAAAGACTCAGTGTGTAATAACCCTATTTAGGTGACAATGGATGCCACAGGTACTGGAATGCAGCCAAATAATTGCTATTATAGGTGATACAAAGCCAATGGAAATTATTTGGACAGACCAACTGGTTTTGGGGTCAATCCCTTAATCCAAATTTCTCTAAAAACAAGAGCCCCAAGAAGTCCCTGTGTTCATGTGTCTGCATATCTGTTACTAACCCATCGCTTTAAAGACAGAGTCAATGTAGAAACCCCATTTCAGAATTTCAGGGGCTAATTACAATCCAAAAAACCAATTTGATATGGTCAAGAGTCTTAATATGACACTTTAAAACATTATTTGAGACAGGGAGACCAGAAAGTGCCATCACATATTCAGAAATCAGCTGAGCCTCACAGTGGTTGATCTGTTCAGGAATTTTATTTGATTTTTATTGCTTTTTGTCTTATGCTTTTCAAGCACGATGGTGTTCACTGTAAATTTGCTGATTTTCACACCAGCAGCAATGCAGCAGCTGCAAGAAATTTTCTATCTAAAGATTTATGGGGAGAGATGGGTAAAATTTATCTGTCCTTCCTGAGTTATCATTTTAGCTGACAGAGACCATGATCTTGGGAGGCTGAAAACCATTCCTCTCCAGGAAAGAGCTCATGTTTGCTGCTTGTGCCACTTTTCCACCAGGGCTGGGGGCTGTGGGACACTGAAAGCCATGTGAAGGCTTCTCTCTGTTCATTCCTCCTCTCCACCCAGATCAGCTGGAATTCTTCTGGATAATGGAAGGAAACTAGTAAAAAACAATGTCTTGGGCTCCACATTGTAAAATGTGTTCCAAGGAGTGACTTCAGAAATGGAAATAAACAACTTCTCCCACCCTTAGGTCTGAATCCAGCCATTGCTGTAATTTTCACAGGTAGAAGAATAAAAAAGAAAAAAAAAATTAAAAACAACACTTTAACACCTTTTTTTTTAATCATTATTTTTTAAATTGGAAGAGGAAAATCATGGGCAGTGAACTTCTGTTCAAAAATTAGGTAAAGCAACATTCCATTTCTTCAGGTTAGCTGTAATTACCTGGACACAGCAAAGGGAAATTTCTGGTTTTTAATCAGATCTAGCAGCTCACTGAAATGCCCAGAAGAGCAGGATGAAGTGTATTGATGCAATGATCCTGACTGGTTGGTACAGCTTAACTTTCTTCACCCCTTTCCAAGCCCTGATATTCCCATCAAAAAGTTTAATCAATCTTTTAAGTTACAGGTTACAATAACCATTGTGGAAAAAAAAAACAAAATAAAACAAAACAAAACCACTCAAGTACAAACACTGGGAATCCAAGTTTATTTTCAAGCTTCTGAATCTTTTACAACACTGGAAAGCAAAAACAGTCACACATAAGAAAATATTTAGCAATATTCCCAGCAGTCTCCCAGTCCACATCCTGGAGGGTCTCATTCTCTTTCTGTGCAAAATTTGGCTTTTTCTTTTCATTTCCTTGCAAAGAATTTCCTCAATGATCATCATATGGAGTTTTGGCCTTGCCAATGCCTCCCTTTCCTGCTACTTGGCTGTCAGGAATTTTCTAACCTGTAACTCCTGAAATAACATCAGAACCTGAGGGTGTTTTATGGTGAAATTGAATCTTTTTGCTACTTAAGAGACAATGCAAAAAGACAACATAAAAGGGCTTTTTCTGATGCAGTTCAGCAAGACTTTGGGCTTCTTATTTATATGCCTATGGAATCAGAAATGGAACAAAGCTTGAAGAAGCTGGATAGACTCCAGCTCCCACTAAATTAGAATTTAATTCTTTTTTCCAGAGCTGGTCATCTATGGTGTCACTGGAGGATGCTACTGGTGTCCATTCATAAGTACTTTGTGCTCTGTCACCATCATATTTTCTGAAAAATCCCCTTGCCCAGGATTTCTTCTCCTAGGAAACTGAGAAGCCTCAGAGGAAAAAGGAAAACAATGCTTATCTCATTTGCTTCTCCTGTGTTTTGCTGCTTTGGAATGTGGTTTGGAGATTGTTTATCCAACAGGTGATTGTTTGATTGGTTTCATGTGAATTGTTTTGACTTAATGACCAATCACAGTCAGGCTGTGTTGGTACTCTGGAAGGAGTCATGAGTTTTTCATTATTATCTTTTAGCCTTTTGTCTGTATCCTTTCTGTATTCTTTAGTATAGTTTAGTATAGCATTCTTTAATATAATATCATATCATATCATATCATATCATAATAAATTAGTCTTCTAAGAACATGGAGTCAGATTCATCTTTCCTGCCCTTGATGGGGGACCCCGAAAATACCACAGTGCTCTACCAGTGCAAGTGTAGAAGTGAACCAGAACAGGTGATTTTTATGTGTGCTGTGGTGCACACAGAGTTATCACTGAGAGGATTATTTTGTTTTAGAAGATTAGTTAGGGTTTAATCTGTCCTTGCAATGCTTATCCTGCAGAAAAGCCCCATGGTCAGAATTGGAGGATCCTTCTCCAATTTGCTCGGGATAAACTGTAATAGTTATGTTTGGTAAAATTTTGTTTGTTTGGTTGGATTTTTTCCCTCCAGAGCCTGAGGCCATTTTCAGCACACAGATGTGGTCATTTTCACCCCAGAGCTGGAGGGCACAGTCCACCTGGTCCTCCTCCACACTGGCACCAGCCCGTATCTCTTCCTGTGCCACCTCCGGCCGATTTCCGTTTGCACCTGAGGAACAAAAGGAAAAAGCTGGTTGAATTTTTGTGGTGGAATTCTTCTGGGGAGCAGACAGTGGGAAAGAAGCAGGACAGAAAAAGGGGCTAGAAAAGAATAAACCTTTTAGACATCTCTGGACAAGTTAGTTTCCTTTTTAGCTGATAGAAAGAAGTAGAATCCTGTCTCAGCATGGCCATCTTTCTGCACTGATGGAAACTTCTCCTGAAGTTCTATCAGTACTAAGCTTAAGGTCTCTAGCACTGTAAACCATTTTCTCCATTTCTAAAACATCTCAGCTTTTTTTTCATCTACCTTCTCCTTTTTTTTTTTTTAATATTCCTATGAATATTTATTCTACCATCGATCTCACCAACGTAGCCTACACAATGAAATCTATTTTCTCCACATTGCCTGCTCTTTCTCAGTTGCTAAGAGATGTTTTCTTGGTTCCATCTGCTTCTAGAAAAGTGTAATCTGCAGCAAGTTTCTTAATCAGCATTCTCCAATTTATGGCTGGGAAATAATGCTGCTTTGCCATCTGAGATGATGAGGGGAAAGCCAGCAGCAGTCAGGAGAGGTTTGCTGTGTGCTGTTGACAGCTGTGTCATTGTGTGTCATGTACTGGCATGGTCACAGGAGCACAGAGAGGGTCCAGGCCACCCACTAAAGCCTCCTGTCACATCTGATTCTTGTTAGGAGTGTGACTCCCCAGATGTTTCATAGGGAGGGAATTTCTGTATGGAAGTGCTGGGTGTCTGGATGTGCAGCTGTGGTCTGTGGTTAGAAGGAATTAGGGTTATTAATAAACTAATGACAGGATTTTTATCTAAACACAAGCATCATTAAACCAGTAATTCATGGCCATAAACTCAACCAAAAGGCGAAGAATGTTAATATATTTAAAAATATTTAATTTAATATTTCAGAAAATTCTGATAGAGTTCAGAAAATTTGGCCCATGGCACATGTAGGTGATTAAATACTGTTTGAAAGCTTAATCAGCCCTTGAATTTAAACTGGAAAATGAAGGTTTAGCAATACAGTCCAGGGAGTCTAGAGTGATCAGGGGCAGGATTCATCTCCTAAAAACATCTTTGACCCTCCAGGGATGCCCTTTCTGGGGAGAAGGGTGGACATATGTGGAACAGGATTCTCCTTTTCAGGAGCTGCAGACAGAATCCAGCAGCGTGTTAGTCTGAAACTGAATCCCAGTCATATCCCAAAGGAGCAATCTCAGCTACTCTGGAGTCAGAAAATGAGGGGAAATCCCAGAGTTTCAACATATTCTAAAATGTGGAGGATAAACTTCCACGTTTTCTGTAGAATTCCTTTAAGATGCATTATTATCACATCTAGACTGGATATGGACACTAAGCTAAAAGACAGACTCCTCTCCCATCAACAGTAAAATTATGACTTATACATTCTAAACAGAAAATCAGATTTACCAACATGAAAAAATACTGAGATGCTTCATGAGACTATTAAAAATACTAAAAAATATATTTCACTATTGGGTAAAGGTATGTATTTAAATTCTTTCCAATTTAAACATAGACCTTCAGTAAATGGAGATCCCTCTGCATCACTGAAGCAAGCTGTATTTTCAGATCTGGACTTAGCAGGGGTTTTCCAAGCCCTGCTATAGGTCAAAAATGTGCAGAAAGGATCAAAAATGCTTGACAGAATAGCAAAGTAGTAAAAGTTCATTTCTCCACTAGATGGCTTCATTCCCATGAAGATCACTGAAATGAAATTCATCAACATTGCTACCCATGTAACAGACATAAGAAAATGAAAGATTTGGTTATCTTTTGTATGAAACTGATTGTTAACTATATATTTGCCACTGAAGGCAGTATTGTGGAAAATATATCTGATATAGTTCCCTTACCTCTTGGTTCAGGAAACAGTAGAGAACTGCCACAATAAACCCCTGAAAAAGGCCAGAAAAAAAAAAGTTTTGAGGGTTAACACAGTCTGAAAAAGCCAGTAACATTATCTGACTTAATGTTATGTGAATTAGTGAGTATCAATATAGGTGGGAGATTGCTGGAAGCTGAAAGATAATTTATGGATCTCCAATAAAGCTGAATGGCTTTAAAAATAAACACCTGGTTAGGGGCATTTCATCAAAATCAGGCACATGCTATGGATTCACAAATGTGATTGATGATTATGGAAGTGTGGTCCATTCTCCAGCCCAACTCACTGACAGCTGATTCTTTATGCACTCTAAAGAAAGTAAAACAGAGACTGCTGAAGTAGATCCATGGATGGGTCACACACCTCTCCAGCCAAATTCTGTATTTCTGTAGACTACCAGATGAGAGCCAATTCTGTGCTATTGAATGTGTTTGTTAAGATTCTGAACTGAGATAAATCCAGGACAAATCCTAGGAGGTCAAAGGATCTACATGACCGGATCCTGGCTCAACACCTTGACTTTTTATTCTATTAAATTATTCGTTAACTACTCATTAGCTCAGTGAAGGTCCCCTCCCTGTACAGAGGGTCAGCATTGATGGACAGGGTTTGTTGGGCAGGACTGACACAGCAGAGTCAATCCTCAAGAGGAATAAACCAGCACCAAACTCATGGATTGCTGGTGATGCTCCCTGAGAACCATCCCATGAAGAATCCCATGGACCCATCCAGGGAGAGATCTGGTCCCTGGGGAGGTTTGGAGGCATTCCCACAACTGCTGCTTTGGACTGAGGCACAGCACAGGGAACAGGAGGGAAGCAAAGGGAAATCAGATCCTGCCCAGCTCATAACTCAGGCAGCAAAACACCTGGAGGGGACACCAGAGCAGGAATTTTCTTGTTGGCATCAAGCTCCTCAAGCTGTCCATGCCCTGTGTGCCAATCCAGAGCAGTGGGGGCCATCAACCCAATATTTTCAGGAGGGGAAGGGACGTGGCATTCCTTGGGACAGCAGCCTGTCACCAGGCACTGCTTGATGCTTATGTTTAATTATCAATTTATTCTTTAACAAAGAATTAGCAAGGCAGCTGGACACACAGCTTTGATTGCCTCTGGAGGATTTAAGTCAGCCCAAGTCAGCTTGAATTTGTTAGTGGAGTCAGGGAAGGCAGGTGGACAAGTACTGGTAGCAAGCAAGATTTTCCATGCTTGACTTTGGCCCCCCCATCCGATTTACACACTTATCTGAAATTTTGTATTTCCAAAATCTGGAGGCCAGCCTAGAGCCAAGCAGGATTTGTCACCTCTTCAGACATTTTAACTCAGCAGAGAACCAGGAACTTTGTGAGCAGACACTGGTTTCAGGATCTGAGGATTCTTTTTGTGCAATTCTTGTGATGAGGACAAAAGGCTAAAATAGAAAAACTGGTAAGAAGGAACCAAAGGACCTGTGGTAATTTTACCTGAAAAGATCCAACGCAGAGCTCCAAATAAAGACGAACCCCCAGGCTGGTATATTCTGGGAGGAAGTTGAAGACAATGTAATGGGTTCCAAATAAAGGAATTAGAAGCAGAGTTGACCTTGACAGACGTCTAGCACAGGAGATGAGAAGAAATAAGGTAATATTATTTTTCTGAGTAAAAGCTAATGCACTCAGTGAGCCACAGTGGTGAACAGAAGTGAAAAAGAAACTAGTATATATAAATATGTATGAATATATATATAAGTAAATATGCTGTCTTCCTTTGCAGTTCTCATACAGAGAAAGGCAGATATAGAAGGTAATTTTTCCTGTCCTAAATAAGAGATTTAATTCCAATTGAATTAATTTCATTGTCTCCCCATTGATTTTAATTGGAAGGCAGACATCTGAGCTGATCTGAATACATCCCATTGGCCAATGAGGTGGCTTGAGTCTCACCCTTTGACTAATTTCCTTTGGAGTGGGATAAGGTTGGGAATTCTAAAATTTAATACCAGTTAAACTGAGCCTGTCTGGGACACTGAGCAAGTACCTCTCTGTTTAGAAAAGACAACATAATTTTTTATTATTAATATTGAAATAATTGATTTTTTAAAAAATATTCCATACATTACCTGTACTGAGAAGAATTATTGAAGTTGATTTGTCTAGGGTCTAGTTTTTTCAGCAAAATTCTGATGATGTTGATAAATAGGACAAAATTGACCTGTTCATAACATTTGAGGGGTGAGAAGGAAGAAAAAGAAAAGGTTAATTTCTGATGGAAAACTTTGCAGAGAAAATCTGGTAAGTCTTCTTTTTTTATTTTAGTTACAATGTAATTTGTGCAGTTTGAATGTAAGGTTGTTAATGCTATCCCTGCTGGCAGCATGCAAGTATTTAAATAAGTTGCATTCCTGCTTGAAGAAATGGCTGAAGGTGAAAACTTGAGACTTTCACTTTGTTCAGCAAAATATTTTCATCACTTATGTTTTACCTCTTTTACCTTTTGTAGCACAAATCCGTTGGATTCTCCTCAGAGACAAACATTGCATTAAGTTCTGGCTGATCTCTCTGGGCACTATTAGTAGAATTTTTCTGCCTAAATACCTCTACAATGAGATATTTCCATCAGAGCTGATCACCCTGCTCTGCCTTTGCAGTCAGTGGAGTACCAGCCAGGAGAGTGAATAGAGCTTCAGGTGGGCTTGGGGGCAGCTCACCTCCTCCCAAGGCAGATATTCAGGTGAATCTGAATCTGAAACTTGCCAGAAGTGCACATTTCCCTTTGTTGGCCCTGAAGGAGCCCTTGAGGAGCATTAGCTCAGCTCTAAAGCAGTCAGGGTCCATCCTAACTCGCAAATAAATTCTTCTGCAGTTGTAATTTGGCACAGCTTTATGCAAAGTCTGTGAGGCTGCTCAGTTTTTCATGATCAGAGGGATTCTCCCCAAGCATTTTTGGAGTGTCTGTGCACACCAGATCTTCCTTAGGTGAGGCTGAATGTTTAATTTTGTCTAAGAATGTCCTCATTTTACCACAAAGTCCACTCTCATTCTATCCATTAGTGATGCTCTATGCGAATTCCAGCAGAAGAAATAACAGAGGTCGAAGGATATGAAATATTTTATTGAAACACAGCAAGCTCTGGCCAGAATTCAACTTGAGATTCTTCACTCACATTGTTTGTGTGTATCTTTAAGGTCCCTTCCAACCCAAACTCTGTGATTCCATACCCCTCATTTGCATCCATCTGTCCTCCAATTAAATTAAGCTTTCATAGCTGACCTTAAGGTCATCCATTAACTGCTTTCTCAAACACTGCTTGGGTTTAATGACTTGTGAGAGTAAACATTTATGATGATCATTTAAAGCCCATCAGTTTATTCCATAAATGCCAGGCTCAAGAGCTGTTATCAGTTGTCAGCTCTGAACAGAAAACTATTTCCCTTGACAGTTTTGTATTAAAATTTATGTCTGATTCTGAGCTCTTATGCTAAAATTTTGTTTTCAAATATAAGGAATATTGAGTCCACTAATTTGCTATTAATTTCAACTAAACTGACAATTCTAGGAAAGTTTCAATTTGTTTGAAAGATGAACTTTTTAGTTTGCATTGGACCCAGGCAATTAACAGTAGAAATTTATCATTCCTGTTCCTACAACTCAGCAAAGAAACTCAATTTTAACTCAAAAGCCTTTTTTTCTTCTAAGTAATATCAGCAAACTGAGAAGTACCTACCCCCACAGAAATTATAATTGGTCCTTTGATTAGCCACCAATAAGGAGAGCCTTGATTAATATCCCAGCATCTGTGAACACGATAATAAGTTTAGAAAAACATAAGTATGTAATCACTGCAATCAATTAAAAATATAACTCAAGGATGTGGAATAATGTGGGAAACAAAGACTTACGCTGTGTCTTCAAAGTAGAATTTTGTCAATATCCATATAAGGGTGAAAAGTGTTGGAAAACCTGACAGACATTTCAAAATAAGGTATAATTAATTCAAGCCTTGTCCACTGAAACTCTGGTGCAATGATACAGATCAATCATTTTTGAGAACTGGAATTATCTTTTGGGGTCAGTACCTGTAACAGGAATTGTTTTAAAAACAAAAGGTGATTCTATTTGCTGAGTTGTCTGGCCTCTCTTAATCTTTGATGGCAACAGAGGTGGATTTCCCTCCCTGAAGCAATGAAATATTCCTCTGGCCAAGGGCATTCACCTGCCATGGAGGAGTGCTCTGCTTTTTCCTTCCCCAGCAACTCTCTGTGGGCACCCACTTGGTTTCAGATTCCTAAGTCTGAGCAATTCAATTTATTCCGGACAACAACAAAATCGGAGGGGAGATGTTGCTGTTTCACTGTCCTGTTATTTAGTGGACAGAGCTGCTCCATTCATACAATATCTCAGTGCAAAAAATGGGCTGTAGAAATGCCAGGAATAAAAAAGTTCCTGATTAGGAAAAAAACAATTCCCTTTCCCAACCTGTGTAACCATTCTGCACAAAGAGAACAAGGCACATTGAATTCTGGTGTTTGTGATAATTCCTTAGAGGTGTTTTCAGTGGGTGAAGAAGGCTGAGACTGCAGGATGTCTCTTTGTGCATTCTCAAATATAATTGATTTTCCACCCCTTTCACTAGGGCTTTATTGCCATAAAAAAACTTGATTGCTTCTGGCTAGTATGCACATAAAAATAAAATGGAAGCAAGGCCCAGGTTAGGTTCTTTAGTTAGATCAACTAGGTTCCACATCCAGTATTTTTAATGGGAATGGATCATGGAATCATAGAATCATAAAATTGTAGGGTCATAGAACCATGAAATTATGGAATCATAGAGTCATAGAATCATAGAACTGGGGAATCATAGAATTGTAGAATCGTAGAATCATTGAGTCATAGAATCGTAGAATCATTGAGTCATAGAATCGTAGAATCATAGAGTCATAGAATCATAGAACCATGGAATCATGGAGTTATAGAATGGCCTGGGGGAGAAGCCACCTTAAAAATCACCTGGTTCCAACACACAGGACACCTTCCACTGTCCCAGGTTGCTCAGATCTCCATCCAACCTGGCCTTGGACATTTCCAGGCACGGAGAGTCCACAGCCTCCCTGGGCAACCTGTGCCAGGGTCTCACCACTCTCACAGTATGGAATTTCCATGTCCCATCACTCCATTCCTTGGGAAAAATCCCTCTCCAGCTTTCTTGTACCCCTTGGAAATTGCTCTGTAGTCTCTGTGAAGCCTTATTTTCTCCAGCCTCATTTAACACCCTGCCTTTTACTAATGTCCTTTAAAATTCGTAAAAACCTACCCCAGCCAAAGAGAACCAGCCACCAAAAATATCTTCTTCCATGAGAAAGGGATGAGAGCAGCAGGCAGTTCAGGTAGAGAGCCTCCACCAGCAGCCACATGAAATTGGTCATCATGAAGTAGTGACAGAAAACCACAGAGATCTTGCATTCAGTCTGAGGAACAGGAAAGTCACACTTTAGGCATTGCTTGGAGACACATCTCTTGGTTTGACCATGGAGGACACATCTCTGATATTGGCTGGGTTCTACCAAGAACAAGATCTCACTATTAACTGATGTTTAAACTGAGAGCTTCAAATGTAAAATGGATTTCTGAGTAGTAAGGCTTTAGCCATGATAACACTTTGGAACCCCCTCTGCATTTTGCTTTCCATCTCCATGTTAGAAATGTAACTTGGGCTCCTGAGCATGTGAGTTCTCTCACAAATTCACTGCCTTGAGTGTACCTTCAGTGTCAAATGCTCCTTCAATAAAGGTTCAGGGACCCATTTTTCTCCTTATGCTCAGCTCTAAAATTCTGTGTGGCTGTCAGCAGTGCAGAACCATCCCATAAACCTCAGCTTGAAAACCATTGCCAAGATCTGGGGCTGGATGAATGCTAAATTCATCGCCTGGTACCTTGAGTGCTTTGTGCTTTACAGATCAGAGCTTCCAACCAGAACAGGAAACCCAACATTTCCAGAAGAATAAGCTTTAAAAGTTGTTCTTTGATGTACTCAGAGATCTTCAATTTTAGACTTCAGGTTACTGACACATAACAGTATAATGATACTACTTTGTTGCTATGTCAAAGTCCAAATTTCATTTAGAGTGCTGCAACATCACAAATGGATGCTTTAAGAACCTAGGAGACCATAATGCACATATTTATGGAAGTAAAATATACTGAATGAAAATTATATAATTTTCATTATCAGAAAAATTCGTAAAAAAGAGGGATGAAAAGTGAAACCATAAATAAATGGTACATAAAAACATCAAATACCACAATATCCCGCTTTTCATGTGCTTACTGTAGAGAAGCTGCAGTGATCAATGCCTTCCTCCTGGAAAAGGACAGCATCCTTAATGAAAATGGCAATAGCCTTTAAGATGAATGTAAAAAAGAGCTGTACATGGATATAATTCCTGGGACAGCGAAGCCTCCTGGGAAAAAAGAGAGGTCACTCTGAGGTAATTAACTTTGTTGTGCTGTCAGTAAATAAAATAGACAATAAACCCTTGTTTTATCTCAGATACTTCCAGACACATTTAGGAAGAACATTTTGATCCACTGAGCTCCTGCAGAGAGAGGCAGAAAACTTCCTCATGTGAAGCAAATCAGCCCCAATCTACATTTTAATCTCTTTACTTGTTAACCAGAATTATAGGTTTTCCCTTACTTTGCCAAAGTTATTTTGATGAATTAAGTAAAAGCACAGAAGAGCTTTAAAACAATTTGGCACATCTGCTTTAAATTCAATTTGCACATCTACTTTAAATTCAATTCACACATCTACCTTAAATTCCCAGTTAACTAAGATTAAATTTTTGCTGTTATTATATACAGATTTTGAGGGAGTTATACAGCTTCATGCTTTCATTTGGAGATGAGGACTTGAGTTAATAATCAAAGTTCCACTAAAAGCCAAATTCTCTCCAGACCCAGTAATCTGAGGGTCACCTAATCTGAAAGTTCACCTGGAGTGTGCAGAATTTTATTGCTGACCTCAAATGTCAACCCCATTGTTAATTATGACTTTTTCCTCCCTATTACTGCGTCTCCTTATGTCCATTGTTTCTTTCTTTCCCCTCATTTGGGCTGGTTTGTTTTCCTGAGGTCAGAGTGGATGTCAATAAACATATCTGGTGGCTTCCAGACATGAACTAGGAACCAGCAGAGGTCAAGAAATTTTCCCTAGAGAACCCTGATTCTCACAGCATAATAATAAAACTCCTGCCTTTTTTTTTTTTTCTTTTTCTATTTTTTTTTGTCTCACAGAAATACAATAAATAAATAAAAAATTAATAAAATAAATCCCACATGGTGGCAGACATTAAATCAACATGAAATTATAAAATACTTTAAGTACTCTTAATTAGACCTGAAAATACCTATAAATATGTATAAAATACCTAACTCAGTAAGAAAGAATTCTCACCAAATGTGACCAAATTCTGAAACTAACTTTAAAACATGTCTTTAGTGGTAAATGTTTCAATAGTAATCAATTCAATGAACAGGATAGGAACATTCATTCATTCAGAATCAAGTCCTTTGTGTATATTCTTATTAAAAATTCCCTGGAGCCATAACAGGCAGGTATGCATAGTTTATGAAAAAAATCTTCATTCCAGCCTAAAGCAAGTAAATTTTTCTGTTGGTTCTTCAGGATCAAAGTGAGTTGCTGAGTTTTTCCAAGACACAGCCTGGGTTTATTCCCCAGATCTGAATCTTATTCCTGGCTCTCTCTGAATGCCTTTTAATTTCCAGCTTCAGTTTCATATTATTTAACCAACATGGCTGGAATTTTTTTTAAACTTTTATTCGCCTGAATTTCTACTTCTATTATTTTGTTATGTCTAATGTTGTCTTCCACAGTCTAAGAAATTAAGAACTGTGAAAAGAATCTTGGTTAGAGGACACCTTTACCTGAATGCAATCAGAACTGTCACAGCAATGATGAGGGAGGAGATGGACACGCTGTATCCCACAGTGTAGATGATCTTTATAGTAGAAAAGTAGGATTGCTAGAAAAGAGAACAATTTGTCACACAAGTTGCTGTTAAATGACAGGTTTTTACTAAATTGTCTCTTTTACTTTGTTTGGTGCTTCCATTCTGTTGACATCCCTGACTGCCTAATTTTCCCCCTCTTCTTTCCCACAGCAAAATTCAACTTAAATCACTCATTTTGTTTCTTTTGTGTAATCCCATTCCACAGTTGTGTGGATGCAGCCCAATCTGATGCTGAAATATGTATTGATCTGGGTAGTTTGAAGCTCATTCACAAAAACATAAAAACCCTCACCAGTCTTCAAAAAGGCATTGTTCAAAATCTTACACAATTTTTATAAATGTTGTGTTCTGCTCCATGTTTTCTCCCCAGCAGTTAGCAGGACAATGCTTCTGGCAGCATGATGAATACAGAATTCTATCAGCATTTCTCTATTTTTCTCCACTTTCCTGCTCTCTGCTTCCCTACTTCCATTTTTGCTGTCTATTCCTCCTTTCAATTTTTATTGTGTTGTGGTGGGTTGTTTTGGTGGTTTTTTGGTTTTTTTTTGGTTTTTTGGTTTTTTGTTTTTTGTTTTTTTTTTTTTTTTGTTTTGTTTTGGTTTGGTTTGGTTTTTTTTTGTTGTTGTTTTTTTGGGGTTTTTCTGTATTTTTTTTTCCTGGGGTTGTTTCTTTCCTCTGTTTTTCTTGCTGCCAAACTCAGCTGCTGCTCAGTTGGAATCCCAGTCAAAATCCATTTCAATTTAAGTGGCTCCTCTATCAGACACAATCCCTGAGTGAGGATAAGTTGACTTCAGCTATCACAGATGAAAGCAGAAAACAGAATGAATAAGCTCTAGGCTGCAAATCTAACTCCAGTCTAACATGATCTGTCTCTGGGGTCCCATTTCAATGCTTTTATTACCTAAAATCTGCACAGCTGTGCAGTGCATTCCTACAGTTCACTTGGGGAAAGGGAGATGCTCATTTTGAGCCTTAAATGGAACTTCAGGCATTATAAGACTGATATTTATTTAATTTATTTAGGTGCTTAAAAATTAGCTGCCTAAATATGAGTCTGTAGTAGAATGAGAAGAGCCTGGCCACGGTGTTGAGCTGTTTAATTATTAATAAAAATCTGTTTTTTCTCATCCTTTTACTTTTATAGTTAATGAAGGAAAACACTCTCAGAAGACAATCCAAGTCTTTAGAAAATGAGACCTTATTGGTTTCTGTGACCCACAAAAAGGATCTATCACTACAACTGCCTTAGAAAGAGCAGGTCATAGAATCATAAATCCTTTACTGGTTTGGGTTGGAAGGGACCTCCAATTTCATCTACTTCCAACTCCTGGATCAGTAGAGTGAAACCTTTTATGCCAAGGACTTTGCATCCAAGTGTGCAGATTTATGATTATCCACAGTCCAACCCAATGGGCTGAGCTGTTGTTACTGCTCAGAGCACAGCAGGTGCACCCTGAATTTACCTTCCAGTTCAATTTTATCCATAAGAAATCAGATTATCCTTTCTGGGAGCATGCCTCAGTGTGAATGCAGTAAGTGGGGACAGCCAAGAGACATCCCTGGAAAGTTCCCACCTGATCCTGACCAAAGCACTAAGATCCATGGTGCAGAGATTGGCTCCAATTTTCACAGTATTCTTTTGAGACTGATGAAGTTAAATGGGGTGGAAACCAGGCATAATGGGGTTTTTCTGTCCAATGGGTGAACTGTGAGTCCTATAGGATTACCCAAATCTCTGAGTATGCACAATTCCAGCCAGAGCTCACTGAAGTGCCTCAGAGCTCCAAATCTTGCCAGGAAGTCTGGATGCACCATTCCATGAGAAACATCAAAACTGTGCTAGGCTGGCCATAGCTGGCAACAAATCAGATGTGTAAAACAGAAAATAATCAACTTCTTAAGTGGATAAATCCACAACTGAGGAGTTTCCTTTAGGCAGAATAATGGAATCATTACAGAATGGGTTGGGAGGGGTCTTAAAGAGCATCCAGTGCCATGGGCAGGGACACCTTCCACCATCCCAGGTTGTGTCAAGCCCTGTCCAACCTGGCCTTGGACACTTCCAGGGATCCAGGGGCAACCACAGCCACTCTGGGAACCTGTACAAGATCTCTCCATGGTGATATGAGCCATGTTTCGTCCTTATTAATTAAAGGTCAAGCACTATATTTTTCCTCTGCCTGTAACCTCAAGATATCACCAACAGTGAAAATCTGGCTGAAGAAATATGTCAAATTCTGATCTGCATTACAGAGATTTTGGGACTTTTTTTTTGCCATTGTTGAATTAGATATTTAATGCAGCATGAGACACCCAAACCCCCTCTTTTCCTTAGATATTGCTAAATTTGGAACAGTGGTCTTTTAACAGCACACTTTCTGTACAGATGCTGTGATACTACAAATTCATCTTGCTGACTGATATTACTGAAATGTCTTAATTCACATTTTATGAGCATTTTGTGGTACATCTTTGTCTGTTATACTTGTGAATTTACAGCTGGCTTTGTTATTGTTACACCTGAATAATAAAACAGTCTCGGTTATCTTACAAAATAAGTGGCCACAGTAAAAATTGGAATTTTATCCCATACTTAGAAAGAAATTTCAGCTTCTTTCTGAGTTTCCCTCTTCAGGGATAGAAAGGAATACTATAATATCAGCACACCACTCACATATTATTATTATTTGTGTAATTGAACTTACTTCTTCAAGAGGAATCTCATCTTCTACTGGACAGGCCACATGGTAGGGAGGGAATGGATCAGACCAGCCCTTTTTTGTGCAGTTTCTTTTTATCATCCCAGCTGGAAAAGAAGTCTTTAATTTTCTCAATGAGGGGCAAGATAATATGGGAAATAAAAACCAGGAGAAGACCTCTGGCTGGTACAAAGTTGTACCAGGAGAAGATGATCATTAGCATCTCACAGAGTCAGTAGGAAAATTTTCCTGTGCACATTCAGATACAAAACTTTGTATTTTATTTACAGACAAACAATGGGAAGAAGGGAGAGAAGAGGTGATGGAGTAGAGGTGGGAAGGACAAGGAAGGAATTATATCAGGCACACTGGAAAAGACTGGGAAGTACTTGCTCCATAAATTTCTGCTCTGCACAGCACTCACCCGTCCACCATATCCCTTCTCATTCCCACCTGCCCTGGGGCTTACTCTTCCCTAGCAGATCAGAAGCTGGGATAAGCAGCCCATTCCATGCTTCCACAAACAATATTTATGAGTCAGATGAAGCAGAAGTCAAGAATCCCAGGGCAGGAAATGAATCTGCACAGATGAAAGGGATTTTCCTTATCCCTCGGTTATAACAAGCATGTGTTGGATGTGGCGGAGGTTGGGCTTTGCAGATTCTCTTTCTTGTGGAACTGCCAAATCCAGGTCTTTCCTGGAAGGTGGTTTGCTCCTTGTGGGCTCACATTTTGTTACTGGCCACGCTTACCCAGAGAGGGAGCAGACACAAAGGCATTTGTTTGCAGTTTTGCAGCACATGTGCTGCTCCAAGGCCTAAATTCTGCTTTGAATCTCCAGCCTTGGTCTTTAAGAGCAATCACATTGTTCATTCCTCTGCCTTTCATTTCATCCCACACCAATCACAGCATAAATCTCAAGAAACCCCAAGCTTAAGTTCTGACCTAGACAGCCTCCAGATGAGCTTTGAAGGAAACTCACACAACAAACTGATCCCAAAGCACATGGAAACCAAGGAATTACTTGTGGCATTCACATTTTCTGGAAAAATCCCTTCGCCCAGGGTTTTTCTCCTGAGAAAGTGAGAAGCCTCAGAGAAAAAGGAAAACAATAATTATCTGATTTACTTCTCCTGTGTTTTGCTCCTTTGGAACCTGTTTGGAGATTGTTTACCCACAGGTGATTGTTTCATTGGATTCTGCTGGGAGTTGTTTTCACTCTTTGGCCAATCAGGGCCAAGCTGTGTCAAGACTGGACAGAGTCAGGAGTTTTCATTATTATCCTTTTAGCATTCTGTAAGTATCCTTTCTGTATTCTTTAGTATAGTTTAGTATAGTATTCTTTGATATAATATAATATCATAAATAATAATAAATAATAAATATAATAAATAAATAAATAATAAATATAAATAAATAAATAATAAATTAGCCTTCTGAGAACATGGAATCAGATTCATCATTCCTCCCTGCCACAGGGCACCCCACAAATACAATAATCACTCCTTGTGTTTCAGCATATTTTTGAACCAGGGCCTCATCAGAGACTATGGAAATCAAATCCAGTTATGGATAATCCTTAAAATATGAGAAGAACTGCTAAGGTCCCTCAGATCCTCCTAAAATCTTTGCAGTAATTTTCTGATCCAGCTCATGGGAACATGAAATTCTCTGTCTTCACCCTCCCTTTTTAGAAATGTTCTTGCCAGACACACATCAGAAATAACCATGGTAGGACATCACCTGGCTCCTTCATGAAGTGAAAGAGGATGTTTGGACATGGTAAGGCAAGAATCTCTCCAGCATCTGCCTCTGGCCAGCACAACAATTTGTCCCAAGTTCTCTTGCAACCTCAGACAGAAAGTGAAATATATTTTTAAGCATGGTTAAATTTGAGCAAAATAAAACCCCAAACCTTTTTAAACTCTGCCACTCCACCCCTTCCATATCTTATAAAAATAGTTTAGCCACAGTTTTTATTATGAGAAATAAACACCCCCAGAGTGCTATTTAATCTGCTTTAGTTAGACCCCTGTGTTAGACTGAGGTGAGTTTTCAGAAAGAATGCAATAAATGAAGAGTAAGGCTGGAAGAAAGATCAGATCACCATAATTGTTCAGGGGTTGCCCTATTTTTAAAGATTAACACATCCTCACAAACAAGCAAGCATGATGCCAAGGAATTGGACATGGTCACAAGGATTCACTCTGGTAAATATTTGAATGTGAAGGACTGTGGAAAAATAAAAAAAAAATG